TGTGCATTTGAGAAGGTTTCACAAGATTGAGAGCGGCAAGGGTTGCTCAAGGTCACACTTACAGTCCATTTCCTTTCTTTACACTATAGCATTAAGACCAATCATGCCATCTGGGATCAAAAGCATCCTGAAATTACATAAGACCTCTTTACTCGCCGCTAACAGACAGCAAAGGTGAACTCACCCACAGCGTGATGCGTAAATGTGAGCGTAAGTGTTTTATTGCAGAGCTAAACTGTGAGTTGAGTGACAGATCACCTGTACTGCTGTGTGAGATCTTTTGATGTCCCGTTTCATTATCATTAAGAGAGAAGCAGCTTGCGGTCTCTTTATGTTACGCCCCGGCGGTGTAGCGGTGCATGCTGGCGGTCGCGCCCGACAGCTGTAAATAAATGAAGAAAAAGTAACTCCGCGCGGAAACACATAGGATTTGCTGACTTGTCTTTGTCATTGGAATCCATTTTTTTTCTTTCCTTCCCCCATTTCCTTTTTCCATTTCTTATTTTTTTTTTGGCCAAGCTACATTTCATTTGCCAGTTCATCACAGACAACTCGCAGTTACATTAATTTCCATCACAGTAATATAGTTTCTGTGATTAATTTTTAGGCACTTTAACAATTTTTTACTTACGGCTTCACGTATAAAAACGCACAGAAAAACAGCCATTATTTAATATCGCACAGGAGACGGAAAGAGAAACTGGCAGTAATGAATGCGAGTCTCTCCGGTGCGCCGTTCGCGAGAACTTCATCACTCTTGATAGCAGCCGCGCTTCCGCACAGATTTGGTTATGTGTGCAATGCATGCTGGGAGTCCGAGGGAAGCCATTAATGTGAGTAACACTAATAAAGATGGACCAGTTTTGGCCGTGTTTAGCTGTGTGTGAGAGAGATATTTATGTGAAAATAAATAAATAATCTCACAGTTGGTTTTAAATCAGTCCTTACTGACGGTATGTGGAGCAGCTGGTGAGGGAATGGAATTACATTTATCAAGCTGTGAGCGAGTTGTGTGGAAACAGCATACTGTTAGCACTGATGATTGGGATTATGAGGTTCATCTGCAAACACACACACACACAAACACACACACTCATAATACACATGCTCAATACACACTCACAGAACAGACGTGTACTCTATGTATGAGACGTAACATAGCAATTTACCGACCTTCACCTTCTGTCACATGACAACAAAAATGGCTTCTTGCATGTTGGTTACGATCACTTTAAATTTGGCAGAAATGCTTTTCAAATATTAATAATATTTACACAAAAAAAGTTATTTATTTTAGCAACTTATAATACTAAATAAATAAATATTATAACAATATTGTTTGTAATATTTAATTGTAAATAATAAACATTTTAATGTATACCTAATTTATCCGAGGAGGGGGAGGGGGGGTCAAAACAGCGGCATGCTATTGACCATATTATAACTCATGCAGAATTATTATTAAATATCAAAAACCCACATTGGTAATAATAAAAAAAAATGGATGGCTTGCTTTCCTGCAGGCATGCCTTTGTATGTTGCGTTTCCAGCTTAGGCGTTCTGTAACTCACCCTAATGGAGTCTCAGTCCAGGCAAAAAGCCCGAGGACAATGCAGCACAATGGCTTCTGTTCAGACCTCAGAAAGTTCTGGAGCCACCAATGGATGTACAATTTATGGGCAGAGCAGTGCCATACACTTTCAAGTTCAATGGCGTTCTCGGGTTTTAACTTTTATTTTTCCCCGCCGGCGCTGCCGTGGCATAGTGCTACTGCTCAAAAGAAAAGGGGGGGAAATTCAATTCCAGTGTCTTTCATCCGACTGAGGCCACCTGGGGAATCACTGAGCAGCTGCATGGAAATGAACATTTACAGAGGAAGACGGCGTGTGTATTAAGAGTCCATATTTCCCTCATTTTTATTGCTTCGTTAAATATAAACAACTTTAAATGATTACATTTGAGCAAGGCTTGAAATGGCACCATGCAGGTCTACAAAAATGATGAGATATTCATTCATACATAATTATCTAGAGGAATAGGGACTATTAAAGTGCAATGATGGATAAAAATAGATATAAATCATTATAGAAAATATGTTAAAACAATTTTAAAAAATAAAGGTCTGTCTTTATATTCACTTTTTCCCTAAGGACATAACTCAGGTGGGCTTTCAGAAATGTAAGATGTTATAAAACTTACCTAGACAGCATTTTAAGGCAACACAATGGTTGTTTTAAATGGTTAGAACCCTGCTTTTGGCCAAATTGGAAGGTCCAAAGAGAATCATATACTGTATTTCTTTTTCAGAGATGTGATGAGCTCAGTGAAAAGAATCGTCCAAGACGAGTCAATAGAGATGTTGATGAAAATGGGCTGTAGGGTCCCAAAGGTAAACAGCACTTTTGATTTCATGTTAAATCAATTTTCATTTGAGAAAGTTGTGCTAACATTGTTGCTGTGCGCTGTTCATTTACTAAAAGCAGAGTAGTACAGAAGTTCTTGCATGTTCACATATTTTAAATATTTTACACAAATTATGCTGATAATTAGGAAAAATACACATTTTGCTTTAGCTTTTTTCACCTTGAGGTACACTTGTTACTATTAGATAAAACTAAAACTGTTTGTTTAAAATAAAACATAAAATAAAATAGAATAGAATTTAATTCATTAGTAATTGAAATGAATTGAATTAAATTATTAAATTAAATTATTAAATTAAATTGAATTATTGAATTGAATTGCTAATTGAATTGCTAATGAAGTGATAAAAGCACATAATAAAAAGACTAAAATCTAAACTAAAATTAAAATGAAAGATATAAAAAATAAAGGCTAATTCAAAATATTTATAAATGCTAAAATATTATAAAAATCATACTAAAATAACACTGACCCTACTTAAAATGATATGCTCTGAAAAATTGATAAAAATAGATTTTATGGTAACACTTTACAGTAAGGTCCCATTGGTTAACATTAACAAACATTAACAATGAGCAATGCATTTGGTACAGTATTTATTAATCTTTATTAATGTTAGTTAATAAAAATACAGCTGTTCATTGTTAGTTGTTTGAGGTCCATTAAATATTATTTACATATACAACTTTTGATTTTTAATAATGTAGCCTATTAGTAGTTGTTGAAATTAACATAAACTAAGATTAAGAATGCTAAAGAAGTATTTTTTTTACTGTCAACTAATGATAACAAATACAATCTTATATTGTGAAGTGTATATTAAAAATGCAATATTTGTGTCTGCTACGTATCTGCTTATTAGAGCATTGGCGTCTTAGCTATATTAAATCAATTGTGAATCCCAGTGCTTCACTTACTGAGTGTGAAAGCATAAAGTTTAAAAGCAGCCACTTATAAGGCTTTGTTTCAGTCCGCAGACAGACAGAACGGTTTAGCTCTGATGTAATTCGTGTGTTTCTGTCACTGAAGGGCAGAAGGGGTCACTCTCAGCAGCTTAACAAAGAGCCTCAGTAGACACACGCTGCAGATCAAAGGCTCCGGCACACCGCGCTAATTAAAGGGCCGTTCTGCTGCTAATGTGCAACACCGGCCCTAACGAATCTGAAAGAGAAGAGAGGGAAAAGAAAGTTAGCAAATGGCCAGGGAATGTTCGCTCGTGCATCATTCAGAATTGAATTGACAATGCGTTTTAGATCAATTCAATTCTAGGATTCGAGTTGAGGTTGCATGCGGGATCCAGAATAATGCTTTGTACCTTTCAGAAGTTAAAAACGTCCCTTAAAAAGCTTCCGACGGCTCAAAACAAAGCTATTATCTCTCGTGCCTCGTCCTCCCTGAGGAATATAATGGCAGGAGTGTCTAATTAAAGCGTAGCTGCAGATCACAGTGGCTCTTTTAGCAGCTCCATGTTACTAGTAACCTGCTCGCACTGTTCCTGCGTTTTATCTCTCTGCGTCAGATGCAATGTTGACCTCTGACCCCTACGTTTCCTCGTGAGCCATTCCTGAGTTCATCCTGACTAAAGGCTGATTCACGTCCAGCAAAACAAGATATTACAACAAAACAATGCATCCCTATGGAAACCCATGTGTGAAAATAGCAAAAATAAAAGCCGCAAGCATCAACAAACAAGCAGAGTCAAGAGGTCATGACTACAGACGTAAATATGTAAATTATTACATATTATATCAGTTTATAAAACTATACACATTTGATAGAAATTATATATATAAGTTATTGATATATATATATATATATATATAGAGAGAGATAACTGTCACTCTCAGACTGCTACTAGTTTTCTATACTTTACTATATTTCAACTGAACTAAAATAACTTTAGTCCTGCCTCACTAAGTTGTAATAGTCTTTTCAAATGCAGTGCAGATGGAGATTCAGTCTTGCCTGTTATTTGGATGTGAACTGATTCCAGTATCTTCTGCTTTATCCAGTTGTCCTCCTGATTGCTCTGTTTCTGTTTCAGTGCTCTTTAGTTGTCTTGTTGAAGAAGCAGCAAAGAAATGTACAGCTATCACGGTCACCTTAATATTCCTCTCACTTTTTCCTTTGGTTTGATATATGTTTTGTTAGGCTTGCCTCACTCTAAAGATAAAAGATTGCAAAAAATTTAGGAGCTCAAGTGGATCATGACTTTCCAGTTCATGGAATTCTCTCTCTCCCTCTTGGGTATTCCCTCCCATGTGTTCTAGATTCAGTGTAAACACTATGCTTTGGCAATACATTGTAACAATTGTCATGCCAATAAAGCTATACTTTTAAGATTTAAAGTGCACATTTAATACAATTAAGTGCACTTAATTAGGTGCACAGGCACGAATGACACTTCAGATTTTGTTGAGAAGAGGTGGACATGTACTTTACAGTAACATTTAAGTATCATTGTTTATGAATATGGTTATTGAACAGTATCAATGTGTATATCAGAAATCTTTATTATGGTTCAGACAGTCTCGTGCTTGTAAATTTGATTTGTAAATTTGTTTGCCATTTTATCTTTTCTTATTTCAGAAATTAGAAGGATCCACAGCTTCTCAGGTACGTGTTGGAAACATTTCTGAGCATGTTGCATGTTTACGAATCTCTCAAACGTTCAGTAACTGAGAATCTGGTCTTTGCGCAGTAAACGTGACTCTGGACGCAGAAACGGCGCATCCGCACTTACAGGTGTCCGCAGACGGTAAAGAGGTGCGAGACACCGGAGAGAGTGACGTCATCCCGGGCAGCCCGCAACAGTTCAGCCTGGTCGGAGGAGTCCTGGGAAAACCGTGCATCACGTCGGGAAGAGCTTTCTGGGTGGTGGAGGTGGGGAATAAGGTGGGCTGGGAGCTGGGGGTGATGAGGGACGGAGCGAACCGGAAGGGCAAAGTGTCCTACAAACCCAGCGAGGGTTACTGGGCCATCGTGCTCTGCGGTCAAAAAATGTACGGCGCTTTTGAAGACCCTCCAGTCCTGCTTCAGCTCTCCTCCAAACCCTGGAAGCTGGGAGTGTTTGTGGATTATGAGGAGGCTATGGTCTCCTTCTATGATATGGAGGCTCTGTCACATATTTACTCATTCACTCAGTGCAGCTTTAATGGAGCCATCCGTCCGTACTTCAATCCTCATCCCAACAAAGACGGATCCAACTCAAGCCCGTTGGTCATTTGTCCTGTTAATCAAACTGACATCTCTGTGTGAAAGTAAGGCCTGATTTTGAGAGTTTGAAATGTGAAGTATCAGAATATTCATAAATATTATGATTGCCTTTCGTTTATGTCTTTGTTTTCTTCTTTGGTATGATATCCTCTGTAGTACTTTGAGTGGTTTGAAAAGCAAACAAGCATTGAGGTGAAAATTATACATTGTACATCTAGAGATATTTATAGAGCATTAAAAATTGATATATATATATATATTTAAGAATATATCTTAAAAATATGAATACATTTTTTAAAAACATCTAATATATTCTATATATTTCTCCATATATCTCAATCCAAGAAAATACACTTACATATGCTACATTTGAAGAAAAACTTTATTTGTTGTCTATAACATGTGAAAATATAACAAAACAAATAAAAAATGAGCAGGGAACGTATTTTAAAATGTTTACAATTTATAATATTACAATATATGAAAAAATAAATATTATCCACATTTATGCCATATTTAGCCTAAATGTAGGCTACAGAAAGATTGGATTTCAATATTTTAGTATTCTTTTTTCCCCCTTGAAATACAATTTTAAATACATTTTTGTATATTAAGGTTGAAACTAGATATGTTTTTAATTTCCAAAATATATTTAAAAATATACTAAATGAGCTTAATATATTTTGTATATATATAAAAACTATGTTTTGGCCTTTTTTCTTTCTTTTTTTTTTGTGGCCGTATTCCTGCTGTGCATGCTACACAATGTCAAATCACCAAGTCCTGCATGTAAAAATATGCATTTGAATTACTGTACATTGTTATCATGTGGAGTAGGTAGTAAGTTTCCATTCCCATCATGCATTTCACTTTCACATGAACAATCAAAACACTGTATATCAATAATTAGACCACAGATGAAGACTATATATATATATATATATATATATATATATATATATAAAAAATAGAGCACACAGAAAGAATATATATATATATATATATATATATATATATATATATATATATATATATATAGGGGCTTTGCAACCTGATGTGTATGTAAATTAATGTAAATATGTTCAAACTGAATAAAAGCAGTAAATCTGCTTTGCTGTACAATAAAAAGGCACATAACATGTTTGTTTGGAGACGGCGCTTGTATTAGCATAACACAATTACCATAGCAATGTGTTCGCATTAAATGAGTGCGTCGCGTAAACCGAGCCACTAACGGTAACATATACACGATAATGCATTTCATTAGCTGGAATAATCACTTTAGCAAAACACATATTCATTAAAAAAGCTAACTAGCAAAAAAGCTGCAAACTAGAAGCTGAAAATACAGAAATGCATGCAAAAGCACATCAGAAGATATTAGTTGATGTAATTATGAAGCAGAATATCCGTGTTGTTTCAGCATCAAACCCAAAATGAGATGGAACTAAAATAAGAACTAATGGAACTAATGAAGGGGGCCTCTGTTAATTAAGATTGAATTTCTCTTTTATCAGCTCATCAAGGTTCCTCTAATCACAGTCTCAGGGCGATCTCGTTCTCCGTCATTACGCGCTCCGTGATGCATGGTCGTTTGAAATGGATTCCTCTCAAAACGCTGTTGTAATGGTCTGTAGGTCATTGACCCTGGTTTTGACCCACATGTTGTGGCCGGTTGTGTTTTCTCCTGCCTGTAAAGCTCTATGTATATCCCAGCTAACAGGGAACATTCTCTGAATGTTCTGGCGAGGTTCTCTCAAAGTTATAAACAAACATTCTTTAATGGAACGTTCATTCAAAATGAGTGCAACAAAAAAAAAGTGCAATTCTTGAAAAATTCTCAATCTTTCATGAGATCACGGGCTCTACTTTTCAATCGCTTTGGCTGATTCGTAAACGTTTAATCATTCAGCTCTGAAAGCAGGCGCGCCGGATACTTTACTGGGTAATGTTTTATATTGAGGAAAAGATTGCTGGAACTTTTCCCAGTTATTGGCTTAGTGATTTTGATTTCTGCAAGGCAACAATATTGTGTAGTTATTATTTATCTTGTTTTAATTGAAATACTTAATGTATATTATTATTTTTAAATATTCACTCCTCTGAGATCAATGTGTTAACGAGATATGTTATTTTATACAACAGCAGCAGACGTTCAGATGTCGAATTTTCTTTCATTCAAGTGCTATTTTCAAATATTCGAAATTATGCTTCTTTTAATTCTTTTAATATTTAAAAAAAAGATGAAAATTCATTGCAAACTACCAAGGTGCGTTTCTCTCTCATTGGTCTTTTAATACTACTTAAAGTCTAGAAATATGAATATAATATGATTAATTTACATTATGGGCAATCCAACGCTGCCTATGAGGGAAATGAGTCGTGATTTTACGCATCAAATAGCATTGTAATTAGGCACTGATGTGATTAATTGCAGAGTTACAGAAAGCGAGAAGCCAATGATCTTTATAATGAGCTGCCAGACGCGAAATCAGCCGCTAACTGCTGAGAGGACCATCGCAGGTTATGAATTAGGCAAATCAATTAACGTTCTTACAGTTATTTAGCCAATGGGTGAAATCACCTGCCCCAATTATGTAACTGTTTGTGCAATTGTATATGAAAAAATACAAAATCATGAGATGATGCTGTGAAAACACTCAAAGCGGCACACTTTAAAATAAACAGAAGTTTACAATAAAGCGTCACTTAGTATCTTGGATACTAAGTTGTTCAAAACCGTCTAAATGCACAAAAACAGCCTTATATTTGATAAATATCAGCCATATGGCTGCAGTTTCTCGATTTATGTAATTCTAATGAAACTTCCCTTGTGATCCAGTCCCGAGGGCCGCACTTAGGATCCAGCATTGTATGAACTCAAGTAAACAGAGCTGCACTCCAAAGGTAGTTAAATTTCTCACATCAATGACTTTATTAAATCAGTTTCTGCTTGGTGAGCTGCTATTGAAACTGGAGAGCCATTTTCCCAAAGCGTGTCATGCTCACCCTTGGCTTTTGCTGGAAGAAAAAGTTTTCTTTTGCTATTTTAAGAAGGTAAGCAAATTAATCTGTACAGTAGGGACGGTGCTCTTGTAATTGGATGCAGTTATTTAGGATTAGTGGTTTAGAAGGAAATATGTTTTAAAGGAATATTTCACCCAAAAATGAACCTTTGCTGAAAATGTGCCCACCCTCAGGCCATCCGAGAAGTAGATGAGTTTTATTCATCAGATTTGGAGAAATGTAGCATTGGATCACTTGCTCAGCAATGGATGCTCTGCAGTGAATGGGTGCCGTCAGAATGAGAGTCCAAACAGCTGATAAAAACATCACAGTAATCCACACCACTGCAGTCCATCAGTTAACATCTTGTGAAGACAAAAGCTGCATGTTTGTAAGAAACAAATCCATCATTAGGGCGTTTTTAACTTCAAACTGTTCCTTCCGGAATTTTGCTTTCTCCAGTGAAAAAGTTGTCTCATCTGAATTAGGAGAGAAATCTGCACAGATCAAGCACCGTTTACAAGCTAAAACAAATATGTGGGTGGATTTTGATTTGAGAAGACAACAGGAGATGGACTTTCTCACTGGAGAAGCATTATTATGGATTATGGACTCGTATTTTGGACAATAAAATTAAAAACGCCTTGATGTATTTGTTTTTTACAAACACGTGGCTTTTCACTTCACAAGATGTTAACTGATGGACTGGAGTGGTGTGGATTACTTGTGGATTATTGTGATGTTTTTATTAGCTGTTTGGACTCATTCTGACGGCACCCATTCACTGCAGAGCATCCATTGCTGAGCAGAGATGGAATGATACATTTTTGGGTGAACTATTTCTTGAAAGATTCTCAAAATGCTCTTGCATGCAGAACTGGAGCATTAGTTTGTTGTCTGAATCCTCAAAAGAAGCCTGGATTGTGGTAGGGGGCCACTGATAAGCTCATGGGGGGCCGGATTTGGCCCACGGGTCTGACTTGAAGTACTATTGAGGTATTGGTTTGTGAATTCTTTAAAGCACCAGCACATAGATGGCTTTCAAAGGAATTGGAGAGTAAAAGGTTTTTGTGGACCTTGAAAAGCTTCTTCTGTATAATGACTTTGGTTCAAAATGGTTGAGAGCGAGTTCATTGGCATCTTTTGACTGTCTGTCTTAAATAATGATAGGTTGTTGTACTTTAATGTCAAATTAAATGAAAATATCTGCCACTATGATTAAGATGCACATGTAAATGTAAAAATGTGGTGTTAGTTTTGAGTTACATTACATTTTTACATTAAGTGTCACTTCTACATCCGTTTTGCAAAACATGACATAAAAACAAGAAACTCTTTACATTTCTCACCTGTAATTGATAATTGATGTTGCTTGTTTTTGATGCAGAATTTAAATTGGTGTACATCAAAGTTCCCACATACAGCCACATAAATAGTTCTTGCATCTTGTATATGAAATGCAAGGTATAAACATGGACTTATTTTTAGAATCATGCTGGAACAATGACATGCTCTTACTGTAAATATATGTGCATATTTCTTGATATATGATTTAGAGTGATCTAATTTCTAAATCTAAATTATATGCTGATTCAACAAGTCTTGCTAGTTAAGCTAGTTAACTCCCTCACATTTTCAAGCAATGAGGACTTTGAATGCATCACAGTTATTATCAAAATATCAAAGCTGATCTTCTACTAACGAAATAAATAAATGCAACTTTGCATCCATATTTCTTTACACATGATTTTGTACTTTATATATGATTTGCAATGTTCTAAATTCTACATCTAAATTGCAGAAAATAGTTGTTTGAACTTAGGCATTGTCCAGTTAACCAAGCTGGTTTATCAAGTAAGTCTTGCTGGTTAAGCTAATTAACTCCTTCACATTTTTAATCCAAGTGGATTTTGAATGCAATGTAGCATCACACAAGTAGTTATTACCAAACTAAAAAAAATAATAATTTTGAATGATTAAAAAAATATAAAGAAATTAAATGCAGATTTTCTTGCATGCTAATTAAATTGTATTTTTCTTTCTTTTAAAAAAAAATAAGACACTTATAAGACAATTTTGATTTCATAGTTGCACACCAACTAATAAAACAGTATGTAATTGAGTTCTTTAACACACATTGCATTGTTTCTGTGAGTAACTAGCACGTCTCTGGTCTCTTGAGCTAGTGCATGGCAAACAGCTGAGAAGTTGACATAAACAC